GTATACAACCATTACCAATCGAAATGATAATAGTGAATGGAGGGCAAACCATCGTCCACGAAGACTTCCTCGAGAATGTCATTCTTGGACATTTTAATTAACTTCGACTTTCAATTTAATCTCAAACTGACCCTTACTAGCACGTTACTGACTGTTAGCTGCGGACGTAGAAAGGGAATGACAATTACACAAATGCTATTTAACTTCTTCATTTCAGGGATTTTGTGCAAGTTATTGAATTTTTCGAATTTCTTTTCTGAGCTTGAATGATTGATGGCAAGACAATAAGTAATTATTTTAAGTACTATTGAACTAACATTTTGCGAAATTAAGTGAGGTATAAGTTATCGATCTCTCATAAAACGTTTTAGATTATCGTGATATCATTTTCTCTCTAATTGTACTCTGTATTATTGCGAGCGTGACCACAACCATTTAATAGTGTCTTTCACTGGCAGAGTTGATGTGCACTCAGTGCACATTAAAGCTGTTGTACACAAATCGACGTAAAAATGTACATTTAATAAAAATATAAATAGAAACGAATTACCGCGAAATCTTCAATACAGTTTATTGTGATATTTGATAAAATATACATTGTTATATACAAGTTGGTGTACAACATCTTTAATATGCACTGAATGCGCACCAGTTCTGCCAGTGAAAAACGCTATAAGTATAAGAAAGTTGAAAAAAATATTATAGCAAATTATTAAGGCCCGATTGCATCAACGTCACTTTGATTTTAAGTAAGGTTTAAAACTCTTTCTGTCTCTTTTTGGCTTTAAAACGAGAGCACAAGTGAGTTTGCTGCAATTGGACCTAAATCTTGTAGGTTACAAGAACTTTATATTAACCCTCACCATGTATACGGAGATCATTTGTGTCAGGTGATTTTTATAGTTCTGAATATTTTAAAAGTAAGTGAAGTATAGATGCGCCGTTCTGCTAAAAAAACTTGTGGATTAGAGAAAGATACTCCTGAAAGTCGAGCAGTGGACATCATTTTCTCGCTGAACAGCGGATATTCAAAATCGAGTGAGGACACAAATGACCCCCGTCATACATTCATATTTGTACAAAAAAGAAAAATTTTTTTTTTTTACGTTTCTTGACTATTTTTATAAGTAAAACACGCGCGCGCACACATATATAACGAAAAAATTGTTATTCAGTGTTATCTTAGAATAAAATTGTCAAACCGCTCTCTGCAGAAGAGATGACTGTAAGTGAATGATTTCTTCGTTCTTTTACAATGTCATCCCGTATTTTTTTATTAACGAAAAAGTGTGTGAGATTACAGATTTTAAGTAAAGAATGTTTTTTTAAAAAGTTATTAAATGTTCAATTTTTCATAGAAACGCTTATTTTTATAAGTTTCGAAATTGTAAGACTTTATGTCCCGAACGTAAACATTTAAATAAAAAAAATTTGTTGGCATATATTTTTTTTAAATATGAACTTTGAACTTATTTTCCTTTTTTAAAAGTATTTATTAAATTTCATTGACTTGATCAAAAGTTAGAAATTTTTGAACACACCACTACCACTACTCACATTTGTGTTTACATATTTGCAAAAATAAAATATTTTTAAAAAACAAATAGATTTGTTAAACTATGTATAAATCTTTCATTTAAAAAGGAAACTACATGAATTTTTTAATATTTTTTAAATCACTTAATCCATTAAAAAAAAATACGCCGAATATGAATGACGCCCATGTACACTTAATGGATAAAAAAAATGTATACACAGTGAGGATTAAATTATATTCTATCCTGTTTGAAAAATATTTTAAAGAAGACAATTTGACAAAATGAACAAATTGTCTAATTGTGATGCGATAACGGGAGAGTGCAACTGCTTGTGCTTCATTGTTAACACTATAACTCCTTTAGTCAAAATAATAAAGTAGACAAGTGAACAATACGTACTGACAATGAAAACAGTCACAGTTCGCTGGCACTCAATGAATTTTTCTTCATTACTCGAATATAATTCTCATGCATGGCGTATTTTCACTTTTACTCATTTTCTGCTTTTTAATACAATGAGTAAATGAATTTTTATCCGAGTTCGCGATTACTACTTACATCCTCAAGCGATATTCGCCAAAGCGCAATAAACGCGTCATATACAACAATGACATTTCTTATTTAAAGATAGATCAAACACAGAGCTTTCTACTATAATATTGACTGTCGGCCTATTTAATCAGTACCTTCGAGATAAGATAAGAAAATCGTCAATCCTTATGATACAAAACGTCATTTGATCGGTATGCATCATTTAAGTCTTTCCTATTATTAGAAAAACTTTTAATAAGAACTAACCGATATTAACTATTATGTATCAATCGCTGTCAGTCGTCCAATAATTCCATTGAAAATTATTCAACTCTGAAAGGCTCGCATAAAAAATCCGATCGTCTGGCTATCAGCGTTAATATCACGATATTTTGAGTCTAATTATATTTTCAATAATAAGTAATGTACATATGGATTATTACAAATTAAAAGATTAAATCTGAGTTTCCGGAATTTTCAATTTTCGTTTTAAAGATTATAATATATTATATTTTGTAATATATTCGACTACATACGTATACGCATTGAAAATCTTATTAAAAACTTTTCATTGAAAAATTATCTTTCGCTTCAATGTAATAAAAAGTAGGAAGAGTATAGAATGTATAAAACACCTTTAAGATACATAACTAGCGAGAATTCACAATAGCTAATGACAGAAAGTGATATGGAAGACAGCCATTTTGTCGGAAATTTCAACTATGATTTTCTCTTGGTCTTCAAGCGCAAAGAGACTGTTCAATAAAAGCATCATTGCAATCTCTCTGTCTTTGCATTGTACAGAGTTCATTTTATTATAGTCGTGTGAAAGAAAGAATAAAAGCGTGGACACGAATCCATAATATGAGACCGTAAATGATTGGAAGGACAAATATGTAACTAGCGTTAAAGGATTTGGACAAAACCGAACTGTATATATATATATATATGGTGTAGAAAAATAATTGATGCGCAGAATCCATAAAATTCGGATATATTCAATTGTCATTCAGTACTAATCAAAATTATGTGCAGTTGTATTTGTGTTCCAGTATTTTTTTTCTTGTGCAACGCGGAAAAATTATGTTATTAATACAAACTTATATACATATTTCGGTATGTTTATTTAAGACTATAATTCAACATTACAACATAAATACCAATTGTGTTACACCAAATTAAAGCTTTTATTGACAAATAAAAAGAAAATGCATTGATTTAAGTAATCAATAAAAAAAATGCCGAAGTTTAAATTCACTAATAGCGTTTTTCATTGGCAAAACTAGTGCGGACTTAGTGCACTTTAAAACCGTTGTACATCGACGTAAAGATGTACGTTTAATAAAAATATAAAAATGAATTAAACCGCAAAATATTCAATACATTTTATCATGCTATTTGATACACATTGAATATTTTCTCAATTGAAATATCTCACTTTTATATTTATATTAGAATAGTTTACAACAGCTTTAATGTACACTGAATGCGCATCAGTTCTTCCAATGAAAAACACTATAAAAATTGATACGTGAAATTCTTCATTTTTTAACTAATTGTAGCAAAAAATTAAAAAAAGGCGAGAAAGCCTCAAAGTATAAATTTTTGAAGGTATAAGTATATAAATCAAAATATATATATTTGAATTTTTGTAAAAAATATCAATAAAAATAATATAAAGTATCTCGTACAAATGCGATACATTGATTAACAAATGTAATAATTCATTGTCATTAGTGTAAAGATGATAGTAATACGCCGATGCAGTAATATCTTGCTTTGCACGATATATGGTTTGCCCTTTGACCTTCTATTCACATAATTAGCGCTTTCAGGAATATTCTCTTTCTTTCTCTATCTCTCTGTTTCTTCTCTTCCTTCACATATATTTTATCTCTCTCTCTCTCTCTCTCTCTCTCTCTCTCTCATTCTCTTTTCGTGCATTTCTGGATATTATACCGTAGATAATATATAAAACTACGCGATACTTTAGACTCAAGAGTTGCATTCATACTATTAAATTAAATTAAATTATTAAATATACAATTTTACTACGTACTTAAAGAGAAAACTTCGTAAAGGAAAATTAGTTTACGCTGCTGAGTGAAAATGTTCATACAGAGAATATGTAAAGAATTTAATGGGAATAATAAACAACGAAAAAATATATATCATATATGAAATAATTATTCTTTTCTTTGTTATATTTCTATTTATCATGCAACTAGGGAGAGAAAAGAGAGAGAGAGAGAGAAAGAGAGAGAGAGAGAAACAAAAAGAAAAATTATTTAAAAAAAAAATTAATAACAGCGTATCTTTAAAATTTAACATTTTCTTTTATTGCTCGTAGTACAGCAATATGTTTCACAATCCTCCAATAATAAAAAGTAATTTAATCCCAATGCTGAATAAAAAAAGGAAGTTTGCGAAATTATCTTATATGCAAAGTTGAATTTGATATTCTTTTGACGTCGAAGCTAACGTATAATAGATGAATACAATATACACATACATAGATAATTTGTGTTGTGTCGAAAAATTGTGTGGTTATTTAAAGGAACAACTATAAAGATATTTGAATTAAAGTTTGGAAAAAAGAGCAAAATGACCAACAAAATGAAATTTCTCTAGATCGCATTCTGAATAACAACTACATAAATTATCCCAAGAGCCTTAACTCTTAAATTTATTATCGAATTTTGTTCTTGTAATAAATGAATAAGAGAAATTTATTTAATTTTGTACATTTCTCTTCAAAGTTTACATACCTATATTAAAAACTTTTAGAAAGAGTTCATATTATTAATTATTATTGTTAATTGAATTAAAATAAGAAATATAATAGATTTTATTTAAAAAAAAACAGTCCTTCAGTCAAAATACACACGTGATTGTTGATTATTAATTTAAAAAAAAATGTACAACTGCATTTCTACCTTGGGAGTATTGAATCAAAATGATTTTGCAAAACGCTTTAGACATTAAACATAATATCTACAGAAAGAGAATCAACTCACTTATGGCAACAAAATAAAATTGAAATTGCGAAAAATAAAAAGTGAAGCGCTGCCGAGAAAAACGTGAGAATTTCACCAATATCAGAGTCACGTGCTACGAAAAGTGAGACGAAAATAAAGAAGCAAATACGCTGTACATGACAAGAGAAACAATGATTAACTGTACTTTGTTATTTCAATTTTAAGACACTTTCGCGCATTCGTGCTTATTTTGTAAATGCACAGTACAGATAATAGCATAGTCTATACTAACAAATTTATGTTAAAAGACGGAACAACATCATCATTTGACAGATTAATTATAAAGCTGATATTACACGTCAGCTGCAAAGTCATCAATAATAGGTGTCGCTTCCGTCACTGCCGCCATTACCACTCTCGAGACGTCATCGTTTAACCTATATCTAAAAAGTAAGTCAATTCATCGACCTGTGACTTTCAGCGCGTACTACCAGCCGCGTGCAACAAAAGCGAATCGCATGCACTTGACGGTGAACGTGACAAAGTCTGCCGCGGATGATGCGCCGATTGCAAATGTCAAACAAGAAAAATGCCGGACTCGACTCAAAGTGGGTCGTGTCGACAAAGAAAGCGAGGCGAGGCGAGGCGAGACCTCCCGCACGTTTTTCCGATAGCTTTTATCCGCGCAGTTATGTCGGTTAGTTTCGTTTCTGGCGCGTTATGGAAGCGCGCCATTTGGTATTCAGGCCTCAACGCCCACCCGATATAATATGCCAAACGTTGCGCGCCGTCATGAGACGAGAGGCCGAATAATATTCGAACGTTAGATTGTACTCACGAATCGATATTCGCCTACGCGAATCAGTGCGTATGATTGCTCTCGATAATCTCAATGATGATGGCGAGCTTCTTCTCGCACAACGGAGGGAAAACTGGAGGACTGCGACTCGCGTTCCCGCAAGATACAGGGTGACTAGACGTTCTGATTTTTGAGGACGTATCCTTCTTTTCCTTTGGATATCCTCGAATGTCTCTAGATGTTTCTAAATGTCGCAAATACGTTTCAAATTGCTCTTAAGTTTCAAAAACTTACAATTAGCCCGTGAAAATCAAAGACTATATAGTGCGCGCGCGGCCGGGCGAGATTGATGTTTCTCACTGAACGGGAATGTATGTTTTAGGCACGTCTTCGACGGAAGAAACGAAATTGAGTTTCATAGGTATAATGGGCTCATCGATGGTAAGTCTTTAATAGGCAGGGTCGAAAGTACCTGCGGCTATTTAAATGTGATGTGTTACACTTAGAATTATACATAGATGGCTAGCGATGTGAACGACTGATTGATTGTTCTATGTGATGATAGAGCAGAACACTAGAGAGCAATATTATTCTTCGAGTTTGCAAGTATCGACATTGTATTGTTATCTGTTTGTTTTACCGTAGAGGCTTCACATGGTCGGCTAAGCATGATGTTTAAAGTTTCGTCTACCAATAGTTATTATTTTTACACAGTAGTTACGCCAAGCGTAACTATGAAACGTAATTATTTATAATTACTCAAGTCTCCGTAATAAATATATTTGTGCACACATTAAATCGGATTCAAATCAACAAATAAGCGCAAACGTGAACAAATAATTTGTTTCAATAAGTGTGAGCCAGTACGTCTATAGCTTTGTATAGCACGATGCTATTTGCATTCATTGACACAAGTTGTTCATTCATACTTGTTCACGCTTGTTTGCTTGATCTAAATTTAGCTTTAAGTATACATTAGAGCTTCGTTCCGATAATAATCGGAAATCTGTTTAGATGTTTTTTCATTGCTATAATAATTTTCATTTCAAACTTACATTAACTTGGATTTATACAAACAAATGTGGATACGCGAGAAATTCAACTTCCTCAATCCTTTCACGAATTTGAGCTTTCTTAGGGAATGAAATTACAATTTTTATTTGAATTTGTTATTGTATAATGTATATTATTCGAGAAAACAACAGCATCTGAGACATTCCATTAATATCCTAGACAACTATTCGTATGCGACAGACATAAAGTGCAGCCTTCGATCGTAACTTGTTACGGGTTATGTTCCTTTCGGCACATAAAATACCGCATCTGACATGCTTGTAGTGAGTAAAAGAACTCCATAAATAAAAGTATATCCTAACTTACCAACGCAAAGCTTAGAGTGACACGATTTCAACATTTATGTGCAATTTTTTGTTTTTTCGTAAAAATTCTATAAAAATCTTAATCTAGTTAACATTAACTTATAAAATAAAGAAATAATATTCTAGTTAGAATAACATAATGTATTTCAGATGTACCACACATACACACACACACACACACACACACACATATTTTTTTCGGAATTTCAAAAAACAATTTAAATTGTTCATTATTTCTATATTAAAACCCAGAATAAATTTAGATCAATTATCTCGAATTTTTTCTCAAAGTTTTTCATTCGCTGACTAATCTGTTGCGATTCCAGGTTTTTTTTTTATGAATCTTCGTAAAATATCTACTGAATTTGATATGGAGATGGAAGATCCGTAAAAAATGAAACACATTCAACGAACGAAGCAAAGTCTTCCAGATCAATGCAGGAAACCGGACTGGCTTTATCACGGTTTTAAGATAAGTTTAGTAAATTTCAGAATTCAACAGATATCAGCTCTTAAAATGGAATAAAATTTCTACATATGTATCATATCAAAAAACCAACTTTTTCTTAAAACCAACTCGTAAAACCAATTCGTAATCTGGAATCTATCCAACTTGGAATATCGCCAAACGGCAATTTATTAAAAATCAGGAAAGAAATAGGAAAACTGCGTTTCTTCGATAGCATTATTTTATCATGTTTTGCTATATCATAATGTAATGAGATATTAGGTGCCTATAAAATATATGTATAGTTCTATATAGAGTCCGACCGAAACCACATTTTAACATTCGGCCGAAACCGAAAACGAATATTATCATTCAATTTCGGCCGAAAACGAAACCAAAATTGAAACTTAAATAAATCTTACTAAAAGAGATAGAGAGAGAGAGAGAGAGAGAGAGAGAGAGAGAGAGAGAGAGAGAAGCTAGAGTCATATTTCTTCGGCCGTAGTCGAAATTGACATTTTTAGATTAATTCTACAGAGACCGTATGATTTTCAGAAATCATGACAAAATATACTTTTTGAAAAACAAGATTCTATTAAAATATCTAACTATAATAATATAATAATATTGCAGCCTCAACTTAAAAAAAAATCAAATCACAGTTATTATTAGGATCACATCAAAGTTTGTACAAAAAATTGTCTCAAGCTTAATCAACGAGTTAATAATGAAAATCGAACAGTTGTTTTTTGAACGCTTATCGACGCGTTGCAACTTGTATAATTTCGATTTATTCACCGAAATTCCTCTTAATTTCGGCCGAATCCAAAATCAAACCGAAATTTCGGTCGGACTCTAATTCTATAGTTCTATAATTCTGTCGATTAACCTGAGAAACTTATCAAGAACAAAATTTTATCACAAAAATAAATTAAGAATACGCAAAGAACAAACGAATTTAGCGAATTATGATCGTTAATGACTTCTATGAAATCACAATACCGATTTATTTCAGAAATTCAATTTACTTACAACTTGTTGATAATTTCATTGGTAGCCATGTCTTTTATATTTTATCACTTCTCTGAAGAAGAAATACACTTTCCTTTCGCTTTTATCTGTACTGTGTTTTTGTTGCCAACTTCGAACAACATTTTCGTTGTGAGTACAAAAGACTCGGAGTGCTCGCGCGAACTTCGTTCTCAAGAACCTGACACTTTGTGTCAGGACGATAGAAAACCTTCAAATGAAACTTAGAATAACTCGAGGGAGAAGCAAGTAAGCGTCTAAGAACGCTAATTTACCGAAATCTACGACGAAGACATGTCGCTGAAGTATTTCGAAGAGTATCGATTTCGAAGATTCGAGGAGGAATCGATTCGAATACGAGCACTAAGTCTACTATATGAAATTCTTCATTCTGTTTTCGCGGTATATTACAGTATTAGATAGTTCCTAGATATTGAAAACGTGAAAGACTTTGGAAGCCATTTGCGGCAGATGAATATAAGATGTGCATTCGCTGCAACTTGCCTCGGTACAGCATATATATTATAAATATTACATTAACTATCCAATCGTGCAATTTTATTTATTCCATTCTATCTCACCGTATCTTGATAATATCGTAAAAGGAAGTTGTTTAAAATGTACGTCTCGAGCATTAATTTCAGGACGCGATCTCTACATCCTCTATAGAAATTTCCACTCTCGCGTGTATCATTTAAGAAGCACCTTCCCGTCGCGCGCGCTTTACCTCTACCTCTACATTGTAATCTGCTGCTTTTATCCTACACTCAAGCATACCTCGTATTTCCATTACTCTTGCGTTGTCACATTGATACATTCTCTCAAGAAAGATATTAGGCACAACATCCATCTCGCTTATACGGAGAATATAGTAGATAATAATATTGTACTATTATATTACACACTATATTACATATTATATCACATTCGTGATATTAACGTTGACTTGAAATACACGGTTCATTTCTTCATATACATTCAAATGGTACTTTCGATTACTATCTAACACGCGTAATATATTTAGCAAGTTTGTAATCGCTGTAGATATTTGTTGCTCAACTATCACGAATTCCATATTGACGACGTATCATGGCCGAACATTTCGTGCGAGATAGAAATCCTTTACTGCTCAGAAGGGCGAGAGAATATACATACTAGTTGAGTACCTATGTACTTCCGACTGTATGTCATCGCGTACATGGATACTCTATCGATGTCATGTAAGAAATACATATATACGTATCTTAGCTAGAACTTAAAAATTCAGAAGCAGTATCTTAGTTCCAGCAAAATTTCCTTTTCACTTTTCTTAGTTTTAAAAAAATAATCTTTATCACATGCTCTCTGGATTCCTTTTTCGAAAATTTCTTTTTTTATAGAAACCACCCGATAAAAATGATTTTCCGAATTGTGAAGCCTCGTAAATATATGTGATCACATTGTGCGATGTTCCTGCGTTCGGCTATTTCGTTAAGTCTTTTCCTGTCTTACTATCCAATTCTCTTCCTTATCTCTTTTTAGATCTTTTTTCGTCTCCTAGGTAATATACCTCATGTGTGATATTTTCTTCCTGATGTCTCCTTATTAGGGATTATTTTGTTATTAATAATGTCAAGATAGTGTTCTTTCACGATCGACTTTCTCATTAATCACAAAGTAAAACTATTATGCCTGTAAATTATTAATGTTTTATAGTTATTCACATTTTCTTTTTTCACTCTAATAATAATTACGAAACTCCCCCCCCCTTTCTCTCTCTCTCTCCCTCTCATTATGCTATCAAACACTCAGGGTGTCACGTATTAATTCAGAAAATTTTACGTATCCAATGACGATAGTTCTGTTATTCGTAATCATGTTACACTGTTGCATCGAGGTGAGAGCCCTAGACAAGACATTAATTATGGCAGGATTATCTAATTTCCTTAATCACGAGTGACTCCAAGTTAATCTTATTATAACGCTCTAGCGAACTACTTCACGGTCGACGATAGTATCGAACATATGTGTTAAAACTAACATGAAAATCCAAGAGCTACATTAAAAGGCATGCATGCAACATAAATATGGAACTAGAAATTTGAGTTCGCTCGACGCGAACTTTGATGCCAAAACCACATCTCCGATATTTCCGAGTAGTGGCAGAAATTCACCAAGTATGCAATTATAATATCTCCATATGCATCAATGGTAATCTACGAGTACCTATGAAAAGAACTGAATGCTTAAAATAAAACGTTCTACATGTTATATGTATTATTTACTGATATGATATTAATAAATATCAATTTCATTAAGATTATTCAATGAATTGTAATAATAATAACATATGGCAATAATGTGAAATCGTATTAAACATAAAAAATCAATAAAGCCATGCTTGTGTGATAAACGTTTAAACATCTCTTATCAACAATTAGATATAAACCATTCATTCGCTATAAATCTATAGACTTATTCTCTTTCTTCCTCTCTCACTATTCCCTCTGTAACGCAAACTTTTATAATAAAAATTCATGTTGATGTAAAAAAATGACCGTCGACATGGTCTTTCGATTCCTATCGAACTCTCGTTAGGAACAAGG